CCGATGCTGTTGCGAACGCTTACAAAGCACAACGGAGGCTAGCCCCCGCTCATTCAAGTCATATAGAATCCAACTGTTTGACCCTTTTGTACAAGGTATTTAGGATCTGCAGCCGAGTCACAGACGAGAGTAGTCTTCCCTTTGCTATTGGTGGCAACATTGACTTATTATATAAAAGTGGTGAATACTAATATAGTTAAATATTTAGAGGAAGCTTAGTTTCCCTCCGCCTTCTCTGAAAAATTGCTACATTCATTGCTATGGATCGATTCACCATAGACCATACCACAGCAACTATAAATAATACCATCCATAAAATATAATCTCCGATCTCAGAATTCCTTCGAAGAAGACAGCGATGTCTTCCGAAATGTCAAAAAATCTGAAAAACGTCATGGCGTACTTTATTTCAATTTTTTTACATATATATGTGCCATCAATTTTCTTTTAGTTATAACCAAATAAATGCCCCTTGTATTCGAACGTTTCTGTTTTTCACCGAGGGTAAAGCAAATATAGCCAGCGGAATGGTTTCTGAGCATTCCATATGAAAGGTATATCAGATCAATTCCAGGCTTGAACGAATTCAGTGTATGAGCAAATGAGTGACAATGAATCGAAAATATAAAGTAGTCCTAGAACAAAGAAATTAATTGGAAGCTCGCTGCGATCACTAACGAATTGCCTGTCCGTTTGTTTGCTTTGCTTGTCTGCGACATATTAAATTACCTCTCGATTTTACAATTTGAGTTGATTGATTAACTATACAAAAACAAAGTATGCATACGATTCTAGCTGGAAGAGTCAAAGATTTGTAAACAGGCACTGTTTTTATTGGAAAGTCAATTTTCCACCAAGCTACGACAATGGGAAGAATTTAAATAGTCGCTTGGGACATATGTATGAGGAATGTAAATAGTTATTCCGTTTTACTAAATATTGAAATTTATTAGTGTTCCTGCACCATTCCATATGAAATGCGCTCCAAGTGAAAATAAATGCTGCAGTTTAATCACTAATACTTAGGAGAAGGATAATAAAAAGTAAACGAACCGTTTATACATGGTGTTCCGGTACTTGATACAAAAAAGTCGAGTACAAATTGATGAAGTCAAAATATTATCAGTTCATTATATACATTTTTTTCATACGGGCATTCGTTAACAAGTTACGGGCCCTCAAAGGTGAAAATTAAAATTTTATTTTTATTTAGTGTCTAAACTATTAACTTCAGCATGCATGATGCAAATTTGATCATTGAATTTGCCAATGATTACTACCATTGATTCAACTCGGTAAATAAGAGCCTAGAAAATCTTACTGTCTGCTAATGTAATTTTCACTAACACATTTGACAAACACAGTTTACACATAACACAAAATAGAAAAATAAAACAAGAATAAGTTAAATAAATTAAAAAAATAATTTAAAAGAAACTACCAAAATAGATTTTCAATATGGCCTCCACACACTTCTTAATTCTCATAACTCACATTTATGGGATGAAGAGAATCCGCACAGTACTGTGCTAACAAAAGATCAGCACCGATTCATAATAGTGGGCAGGAATTGTGGGTAATAATTTAATAGGTCCATACGTTTTTGAGGAACGTCTGAATGGACATCGATATTTGGAGTTTTTGCAAAATAATTTGCAGCCACTATTAGACGATGTTCCATTACACACCCGAAGAAACCTTTTGGTTCATGCACGATGGGGCTCCTCCCCATTCCAATATTGATGTACGAAATTATTATTATCCATAGTGTTTAATAATAAATGGATTGGGAGAAGAGGCTCAATTTCATAACCACCACGTTCTCCAGACTTAATCGGATTGAGACTGGTAAATTATGCTTAACTGCTGCGTGGTGTACAACATTTTATCTGCTCCCACAGTTCATGAAATAAAGATTAGGTTTTATTTTTTAACATTTCTTAATCAATTCATTTTGACATTATTCGAAATCTTGCAAAATCGCCTTGGTTGTTTGGATTTTGTCGTTTCTAAAGTGTTTATAAACAAAGCTACATAAAAGTTGCAGTTTTGCTGGTTTTGAATTATTATCTCTAAATGAGTGATTTTCAAGTAGGAAGTGCAGCAAATGCTGCCAGCGAATTTTAATTACCCAAGAAGTCGAAAGTGCGCTACGGACGAGTATATAGAAATTTCAATGAATGGTGTCAGAACAAAAATACTGGTGTTTCTGAAATGTCACTGCTAGAATATTTCATGGAGAAGTCAAGAACTTTAAAGTCACCTTCGAGTTTGTGGAGTGAATACTCAATGATTAAGTCAACTATTTTCATAGAGGAAAATGTGGATATATCAAAATACCCCAAGCTGAGAGCATTTTTGAAATGTAAGAATGACGGCTATACAGGGTGTATTTAAATGGAGGGGCACAAATGATACCAGAGATTCCTTGGGTAAAAATATGTCGATTTAACCTAACATACCCTTATCCCAAGTCGCATAATAAAAAAGATACAGGGTGTCAAAGTGAAAAATAAAAAATGGTTTTTCCTTAATAATTTCTACAATTTTAGTTAGAAATGTTTAAAATTTTCAACAGAGAGGTTTTTTAATGATAGGGAAAATAATATAATAATGATTTTTGAGTGTCGAGTACGAGGCGCCCTCTGCAGGCAGCGTTATGCATTGAATTTGTAGTAACTTTTTTGCCAACCCCCGTCTACAGCTTTTAGTAACAAAATATGAAATACTGGACTTTATTCAACAAAAAAGGTATACTTATCGAAAATGGCTAAAGCCAACCGTTGAGGAGATATTTTTACTTTCATAAATTAGTGTTATGGATTTATACCTCCAGGAATACCAAGGTACAAACAGACACTTTTGTTAATAAATTCAGAACGCATTGCCTCACAGTACTTATTAGTTGTGTGTTTGTATTTTAAAATTCGACCAAAAGGGGGAGCAGGAATCAACTGAAACAACATTATTTTTCCTATTTTAAATTTAGTATACTCTTTTTGCCTATTATTTTAGCATGTGTGATGAATACACTTGTTGCATAATTTCTATTTAATTGCTTTTTCGGTATCTTTATTAAAAAACACATTTTCTTGTGCATGTGAAATTATTTATACCCTGCATTAAAGAAATCTCATATGAAATAACAGTTCAGTTGAAAATATTGCAAAATACTTATTTATTGTTAGTTTAATAATTATTATTAGAAAAAAGTACAAACAACTAAAATCAAGAGTCACTTAACAACAGTCAAAAGATAATTTTTCTACAAACGTCAAAAAATGACAAGGTTTGCGCATTGACAACAATATGTGAAGTGACACTTTTTTTCGGATTCTTACGTTACCATGACACCGTGCGCAAAATACTTCGCGCACTAGGGTGCGAAGTATTTCGTTTTGTATTTCAATCTTTGAAAAAATGAAGCAAAACTCCAAATTATTATTTATTCACTTCATGGATCTTTCTGCAAAATATGCTAACAGCACATTTTCGGATGCTTTTCTTGCTTTATTTGTTTCACACCACTCCTTAAATTGCCGATATGCATTTTCATATTGGCGCTTCGATTTTTCCGGTAAAAGATTTGAAGTTACCAAATTGGTCGCATCTGCCAAATTAGGTGGGGTACTACTCAGTTCATCGTCAGTAGCAATTTCCATTATTTTAAATAATATCTGGCACTTAAAAATTGAAGACGCGAGCACAAACGTCACTTTAAAATAATTATTATTGTTGTCAACAACAGCCACTTTTTCCGTAGTAACAGTGAAAATTTGATTAGAAAAGACATTTTAAGCCAGCTCAACACTATTTTCTATAATAAATTAGGCATTTTACTTATTTATAATATTTTTTAAGAGATAGATTTTGACGTTTGTAGAAAAAATATTGTTTGCATCTCGTGCGCGAACTACTTTGGTGGTCTCGAATAATTTTTTAACTCGGCTTCGTCTCGTTAAAAAATTCAATTCTCAATCACCAAAGTAGCATTTCGCGCACTAGATACAAAAATAACTATTAAGAGAAACAATTGACTGACAATACAAAAAAACAAGATTTTTTTAAAGGGTATTTTCGAGATAATTTCCATTTTCCATTCTACGATTAAAATTACGACGAACTCTTGAAAAAATATGTATGTCATTCTTTACTTCCTCAGCTGCTGCAAAAATTCTTTGACAAAGTATCTCCATACTATCAATAGGATTGGAATAAACAACATTTTTTAAGTGACCCCATAAAAGCTAGTCCATGGGTGTGAGATCCGGTGATCGCGCAGGCCATTTGACTGGTGCATCGTTCCCTAGACCTATCCACCTCCCAGGAAAATTTAAATTTACCTATTGTCTAATAGTTAATGTTCAATGAGCAGGGGCTCCGTCATGTGCGTACCACATGTTTTCACGGATAGCTAATGGAACGTCTTCAAACAGTATTGGAAGTTGCTCATTTAAAAATCTCAAATATTCTGGATATCTGGCATGATAAAATCGTACATCAGCGGCACAGTTCTTGTAACATTCAAAAAATATTTGCAACATGTCGATATACTCGTTATTAGTAGGTTTACATAATTTGTTATTTTATTTAATTCAAAAACTATTTACTATATAGGCCGCAGGTAAAAAGTGACTAAAATCAATTAACACTTTAAGCTAATACTTCAAAATTGCCATTTACAAGTATTATCCTACTCGATTTTTTATTTATTTAAGCAACCTTGGTATTCGTGTAGGTATAAATCCGTAACACTTTCAATAAGTATACCTTTTTCGTTCAAAAATAGTCCAATATTTCATAGTTTGTTATTAAAATCTGTATACGGGGATTGGCAAAAAAGTTACTACATACTCAATGCATAACGTTGCCTGCAGAGGGCGCCTCGTACTCGACACTCAAAAATCATTATTAAATTATTTTTCCCATCATTAAAAAACTTTTCTGTTGAAAATTTGAAAATCGTTTTTTTTCCTAGGGCGGTAAGTTACCTTACTTACCTCTCGTTGTCCATAGCAACTTCCATCTCTACGGTAAAATCCACTTACCTCCTTAAAAACAATGTATTAATAGTCTATTTACTATAGTGGGAGCATATAATTATTAATTTTTAACTACACTTTTAAATGAACAGAATAAGAACAAACAACAGTTTATTCCAAAGTTAAGAGACACATATACTCATATACAGGTATGATAAAATATATATTTCCTATTATTATTAAAATGTACCTACACTTAAATAAAACTTTTTTATTTTCTATCTAGTACAATCTGACTTGTCTATAAACTTAATAAGAAATGGTCATACTAATAAATTTAATTCTCGGATAAAATTGTTGACACTATATAAACTTTTCATCACGTTGATGGAATTTGCCTTTTTTAATGTTAGATTTTTGTTTAGGCAAAACTATTTTCATAAAAATAACACCTCATTGATGGTGGATCTGGTGCTAGAGTTTATTTAACTAATTTTAAAAATTTTGACAGGTGGCGAAATACCAAAAAGAAATAAAAGAAAACATAAACATTATGCCACAAATAAATAACTTCAAATAGTAAGAAAATTCTCATTTTGACACATTTTGTGACTAGAGGATATTAATGGCAATATTTCAATCAATTTGAGGATTGAAGTATACAAAAAGTAGAAGTAAAATTTAATCTACTAAATAATGTTATCATAACACTAAGGAAAGACAAAATAAGAGTAGCATGTCCGTAAGAGTGAAACAAACCAGAATTGGGGCAGGATAAGTATGGCTCTTAAACTAGAATCGATCACGAGGATGAGATTTTCGTCCTTCTAGCCCTCATCCTGGATTAAGCGTAGTGCTTAGTCCCACCGCCAGCGCCGGTGGCAGTAATGAATTTGCTGAATTAACTGATATACACTAACTCACTTTAAATTGTTAATGTAATACTTAATTTGAGATCCTTATCTTTTGATGACTGGAACTTTTATTTTGTCGGGGTACCGAGCGACGGCTTATGTCTGGATTATAACGTTTTTAATATCAACTCCCGGGAGGGTCTATTTTTAGCGAAAATTGTTTCGCCTTATTAAGGAGAAAACTTAGTCAGAATTTCTTAAAATATCTAATATGAGTACATACATTTTGTGTAGTTTGCACTGAATCCGAATCCGCAGATCAACAACCGATTTACCAGATCATTATTTATTAGTGAAAAGTTAAACTGTCCCCTAAAATAGGGTGGAATAGTGAGGATAAGGTGAAAAGCAACAATTTGTAAATACTTTGAGAAAACATTTTAAAATAATATTTTGAGCAATGGAAAGAAATACACCAATATTAATGACCCGTTTACAATGAACAATGTCGACAATCACGAATATAAGGTTTTAATTCGGAAATTCTTAAATCCAAAATGGCGGACCCATTATGGTGGATTGAAAAGTATAATAGAATTTGGTATTTACCGCCCAAAGAAATGCGTTATGAATGTTTAAAAAATTAAGTCATTTGAGTAAAAATAGGCAAATGTCGAAAAACGAGACACGGAGAATATATATAAATTCGATTTGCAGTGTGCTGTCTCTTTCAAATATTCTTACCAATCTCAGGAAAGAGTCATACGCTTAAATGGGAAATATAATACGCACAAAATGAGTAAGATTTTAGAGCTAAACACATATGAGTGACTTGCCCATATGGTTAAACATATAAATTTGATCATTAAGTAGCAAACTGTCTCAACTAAAGGGGCATAGTTTGGCATCCCTCCAAGTGCCAGTTAGAATTTAATTGAGATAGTTTGCTTCTAATATTTTAATTAAAACGTTATAATCTTGTCCTTTAATATAAAGGTTTACCTTATCCTCATTATTTCACCTTATTTTAAAGAATAATTTATCTTTTTACTAAAAAAGAACCTGGTAAATCGGTTTTTGGGCTGCGGATTCGGATTCAGCATCATAATCGATGATCGGTAAATACCCATTTCAAAAACGAAAATGTTCGAAGTTTTTAATAGATGCTATTTTTCCTAATTGTTCCGAAGCATCAATAACTTCATATTAATCCCACTATCCGTGTCATTGTACAATAACATGTACATGTCTGCCTCTGATCTGAAGCTTTGCATCGATCAATTTATTCGATACGTATCCAGCGGCACCCTAATGCCTGCTCTGTCGGCCTGGCGTGCCGGTGAACAATTCAGGTTTTCTGCTGAGGGATGTTGGCCGTGGATTTCATTGTCATCTGTGTGTATGTGTGTGTGTGAGTGAGTTTGACGGTTTGCTTGGTCGAGTGTGTGGCAAGTGTTTTTATTACAGTCAGTAACATTGTGTACTACAGATTTAGCCTCTTTCTGCTACCTACTACAACGAGTAGTGCCGTTTACTAGAATTATATAGATTACTACTGTTTATTTATTTGATGTCTACTCATGATTCATCAATTATCTTTTTGTCGTAAAAACGTTGGATGAAACTGAAAATTTTATTTGGTTTTGCTAGAGGCGTAAAAACGAAATAAGCAATAAAAGCAAAGTCACTCATTCTCCGTACTAATCTATATAATAAATATAATTATTGCAACTAATACAGTTGCCTATGTAATAACACCATACCAACCAAAATTTACTTTAAATCGGCATAAAAAAGGGACGGGATACGGAAAATTGTACGAGAGGACTATATTTTAAGAAATGTTTTTCTCAATATGTTTTTTGGTACTACCTATGATTTTTTCTTAGCAAATTATTGAAATTCAAACTAATTAATATAGTTGCTTAACTCTTCTCTCTTTAAAAATTATTGATTTTGTAAATTTTGATTCCTACATTTGTAAAAGTCTATATACCGGAGATTTTTTTAAGCCCATGTCAGAAGCAATTAAAAAATTTCGGCGCCGCTATGTGTTCTGGAAGTAACATAAGTGTATTTATTTTAAAATGTTATTTCTAGGAAAAAAGGTATGATTTAAATCGAAAAAACGAGACATTTTTGTGTCGTTATTTATTTAAAGTGTCGAATATAAACAAAAAATAATTAGGAAAAATATAAACAGAGATATCTGAATATTAGCGGCTGAAACAAATCGAAGATAACGAATGCAACATTTTGCGAATGGCCTTCCTTATGAAGTTATTAAAGGAAAACAAATATGCATAATTTGAACTTCATTAAAAGCAAAGAATATTAGAAAATAATATATAAAAACCCTAAACAATATATTGTCTGCCTATGTTACAAATGTTAAAATGAATATGTGAATATCAACTATGACATTTTCTTAATTCTATGGGATTTAGATCTATTAATCTAGGAGGCCATGGTACGTATGCGCCCATCTCTTCTAATTCACCTCTTAGATACATTTTTCATTCCGGTAAATTTCTCACTTATATTCCATAGTCTGCAGATGATAGAGCATCACGTTGCATTTAATCTCATTGCTAATGAAATTTCATCGAGCAATGGCTGTAATAAATTTAAAATTAGAAGTTTTCGATACAAAGCTGAATTAAGTCGAATGGGTAGATTTGCTGATCAATTGTATTAAAAATATTAATATGATTTGCCCGTTGTTCTTAGAAAATAGGGACATATACAGGGTGGTCCGAATTTTATGCAGGAAACTTCGAGGGCAGATAGACCTTTAAAATAATATGTGTTTGCCTTATAAACGTAGGTCTGGAACGGCCCCGTTTTAGAAATACAGGGTGTTAATGTTGTTAAAAAATTTTTTTGTTTATACCTCAGGAACCTATTAATAGATCTCAATAAAATTTGGTACATATAATATAAGATAGTAGGCCTTGCATTGCTTAAAATATGAGCTCTAAACCAGTGGTGTACAACTAGGCAGGGGTCAACTCCTTCTTTATAAAAAAAAACCTACGCCACTTATTGTAACGAATTTATATTCTAATGCACAAAATACGTAAAAGAGGTAACTTGAATTTTTTCCCTAAGATTCGCCTTTTTCAAGTTATTCATACTAAAACAATCCCCTTGTATTTAATCTGGAAGCCTAACCCACTATCTTTACAATTAAGAACAACTTAAATTAAAATAATAATAAATGTACATTTGCTAAAGCCCTCGCCTTTGGTAGCGAATTTTCACAATCTGCAAACCTATTTAGTCACAAGAAAATTCTAATGAAATTTGGACAAGATCTTTTCAACACGAATTTTCTGTGAACGTGTTTGTGGACCTTTCTTCTTGCCGGTCCGTCTAAATTCCGTCATTTCTAAACTTTCTAGAAAACCATTTATTTGAATTATTGAATAGCTGGATACAATGGATGGCGCTCCTGCGTATTCTGGGAGAATAATATAAGAAAGGCTTAATGAAAATTATATGGGTCGATGGATAGGTAGAAAACCAAATGCCAATGTCATGCAGAGGGTCTCGTGTCTTGGCCAGCCAGATTGCCATATATAAACCCCCTGGACTTCTATTTTGGGGTTATCTGAAAAGTAAAGTTTATTCTACTCCAACAGATACAAGGCCACAACTACTGCAACGAATAGAATGAATTAAAAGAAATCCACCACATTATATTAGCTTCAATTAATTCCATTAATAGAAGATGTCAGAAATGTATCGATGTGGGTGGTTCGCATTTTGAACAAATGTTGTAAATACGTAATGTTAATTTTGTTTCTTGTTTAGTTGCTGTTGCTTGACAAATATATTTTTATTATTATTTTAATTTAAATTGTTCTTATTTGTAAAGAGTATTAGATCTCCAGGGAAAACTAAAACACACCAGGAATACTACCTCACAGGTGGTGTAGAAAGGTGTAAATAATTTTGTTGATGTGCTTACAAATTGCACTTACTTTTAAGCATAAACATAAATATTCTTGTAATATTATGGTTAGAAGTGTCTACCACAAGGGGATTTTATTGGTATGAATAACTTGAGAACGGCGAATCTTAGGGAAAAAATTAAAGTCACCTTTTTACGTATTTTATGCGTTAGAATATAAATCAGTTATAATGACTTGTAAAAAATGCAGTGGCTTTTTGTAAAAAAGGGGCGA